TGTTTCAGCATAGCTATTCTCTGTTTTTTAATTATTTGTGGCAGAAAAACTAAAATATTGGTAGGAAAAAATTGAGTTAAAGAGATTGACATAGGTAATAGAGAACATTACCCAGGAGAATTTTTCTTCAATTTAAATAATTTTTCTCCTCACACGTGCATACCTTTGTTTTTTCTTTACTACAAGCCATGAAAACTCCTATCCTAGTTAGCTAATGTAGCTGTAAAAACATATTGCAACTATCAGTGTGGAATTTTGGAGAGTCTCTTCATATTTTGTTTGGCTTTAAGTAATGAAATGGCATGTGGTCCTTAGGATCAGAAGAGAATAAGTGGAAGTGGGGAGAAAAGTACCAATGGTTTTTGCTCTTTTTTTTCCTTCCCTGTCTGTTTTGGGTATTTTCTGCCTTGGCAAAAGTAATTGAGAAAATGAGATGCTCAATTTTATTGCTAGGAGGCAGCTTAAAAATGCTGTGTGCAAGTGCCTGTTGCATGAAGGAGTTACCACAGCGAGTTAAGATAGCGATGGTCCATTCCATGGGTGTGAAATAGTGTTGTTTGTGCCAAGGGGACATTCACAGACTCGAAATACGAGGGAAGAGGGGAACAGGGATTGTGTAGCAGTAATGCACAGTAAAACCTCCATCAGTAACCAGGAAAGAATTATATTTAGTGTGTTTAAAAAAATATACATACAACTTGCTGTTTCTGAGGTGTTAAGAAAACCAAAGAAGTTCCAGGATGCACTTTTTATTGAAATAAAGGCATTAAAAATACAGCATATGCGTTAGGTAATATTAGGCTCTTTTAAAAATTAACTTCTTCTTTGATGAAGCAATGTGATAGGAATTTCTTAATCATTTCACTGGGAAAGGGATGTGTATGTGCCTTGCCATTTGATATGTTAGTAGTCGGAAGGTGATTTGTGTTCTTTGAAATTCAGAGTTACTTCCCCAGCATTTTGTAGATATAAAGTCTTGATTTTGTCATTTCAAATGGTCTTGTTTCTCACTGGATTTCAAGAATAGCAAATGTAGGAAGTAACTGTGAATTGCTGGGTGGCTTTATGCATTCAGTTTTGTTTGTGAAGGCCTGAACACCTAAAAATAGATTTCCAGTACAGCTCAGCCCTACACAACAAAGTAGGAACATAACTGTTAAAGGTGCATTAACAATTAACTTACCATGAAATTCTGCAGAAAATATAGCAGATTTTTAAAATTTAAGATTTTGCAGATTTGAGCACTCCTGGGGAATTTGTTTCAGAGAATGCCCTTTGCTTTATCTTTGCTTTGAGGGAATCTGTATGCTGTTTTTAGTCATTGATTACTTTGCACATGTAATTTATCTGATTTGTCTTTCTGCATGACAACTTCCTTTAGTGTTACTTAAACTATTGAGAAGAACTGGTAATAATTCCCTGTGTTACCTTCTTTTTCAAAGCAGTTACTGCCAGCAAATAGCACACTTCATCTCGTACACAGATGAGACCCTGAGATTAGCTCAGCTGGTTAGAGCCTGGTGCTAATAACACAAAGGTTTGATCCCCATAGGGGCCATTCACTTAGGAGTTGGACTCAGTGATCCATGTGGGTCCCTTCCAACTCAGAATACTCTGTGATATGAGTTGTTGGTAACCTGAGGCCGAGTGCAGAATAATCTGGAGTTGCATCTTTGAGTCAGTATACGGATTATTGACCTCTTCTCATTTCTGCCAGCTGTATATCTCAAGATTCTATTGGAATATATCTGTCTAGTCACCCAGAGTTATTCTGTGTCAATGTTGTCTGATCTAAAAAGAATTTTAATTAACTAATCAGCATTATATGTAAGTTAAATGATAATATTAGTGTAGATTGATAAAGTTGTTGGGTAACTTTGCATCCTTTAGGAACTAACACTAATCTGTTCTTTCCAGTGGGAATCCACAACTGATAAGATTTCGTGTCTTTATGTGTGGCTTTAAAAAACTCCAGTTATATTGGATGATTAAGTGTAACAGCTCACTGGAGGCTTTGCAGGATACATGCAGCATTTATCAATGTTTTCATATCAAATATGTAGCTAGAAAGTTTATAAAGTTGTAACTTCTGGATGTGTTTGAAATAGAAGATAGAAGAAAAACGTATTTAACTTTTTAAAAGCTTTCTAGCTCTCAGTATTTATCTGTCAAGAGTGCAAAAGAAGGAGTTTCCCTGGCAGTGGTGTACTTCACCCCACAGTTGGAGGGAAAGTCAGCAATATTTAAAGGGCTCTGGAAAAATTCCACATATCCAGTTAAAACCATAGTCAAATAAATCTTACACAACAGTGAACTGAATCAAAACAAAGCTTTTACCCTTTAAAAGCATTGAAACATAAGTAATTCTGGCAGATGTCATTTTTGGTAAAGAAAATTCTGGTTATGCTTAAGAAGTCTGGTGACAGAGGAAGGAAGGCTCCTTATGTTTTACGTGGGTTTATTTATTTTCATTTATTAATTTCCCTGTCACTGCTGTACAGTGTATTCATAGCCATACCTTGCACAGTGTGTCAATTAAAGTGGACAGATATTTGGGCTCTGTCCAGCATAACATCTTTGTTTCTCACTTCTGAATAATGTGATTTTGCAACATTCCAGGCTTTTCTCTTCGAAGTGAAAAATCTCAGTTTTCATTATACTGATCTGGGGTTATTTTTCTCAACAGCTTCCCAGTCTTTGTTCTGGCATCCTCTCACATAGGCTCACACAACCTGTGAGTCTGGTGATGTCTTCTGTTTCCGGTCTTGTTACTTCCTGCTCTAAAGCCCAAATCCTCAAAATACCTGTGTTTACTGAGGGAAGGGTTTGAGATTACAGAGAAATAGTATAAGTACTCCAAGTAAAGGAAGTTAAATCTGTTTCTTTGTGGTGGATTGTAGTCCATCAGCTGGTGGTGAAGAGCAGCAAAAGAAAGGGAATTACCTGGGTATAAGGAGACAGAGATTGGGCTTGATGAAGAGACTGAAACTGTGGAGGGCCTGGGATGGCCTTTGTTGAGGGAAGGAAACTTGTTGAACTTGTTTGGAGCAAGGAGCAGGAGGAATCAAAACCAAGGCATAGGAGGATGGTCAAACTGTGGAGAAGGAAGATTAAGATAGCAGAAGGGGTCAAAGATACCCATGGCTGAGGCCTGACACCTTCCTCCCCATTGGCATGGCCACTTGTGAGGCCTCTCTTCCTAAATCCCCTGACAGATGTCTGGAGGGAAAGTTGGGCAACCCTTCTGAGTCAGATCCATAGAAGTGGAGAGAGTTTGGTGGGTTTGGGAGATCATTTAATTCTAGAACAAAGAAGTGTAATAAAATTGATAAAGAGATTAAAAAGTCAGTCTCTCCATGGTTCAGGAAATGCCAGCATCAGGCGTGCCTTTGCAATTTTTATTCAACCTTCTGATCTATATATTCTTTTACATCATTTACAGAGTGTTTTCCCCACAATATCTCACTTGTTTGGGGAAAATATGTAAAGTTACTGTAGCAGTCAAATGCTACTTACAGCTGTGGTAGACACATCCATGTGGAAACTACTACTTAGCTTTACAGAGCAGTATCGAGAGTGCAGTAAACAACCTGGAACTCCTTGCCAAGCAGAAAACAATGTCCATAGCTTTGTATTAAAGTGGTTACCCTTCAGCCTGGAACTGAGGGCTGCGGTGGTTTCTGCTTCATCAGCTTGGAACGCTGGAAAATCTAGTGTGAGACTTTTCCTCTGATTTTTAAAAATGCCCTTTTGAGAGATCAGCCCCGTCTAATCTGAATTTATTGCTCTTAAAGTTTGAATATCTGGGCATCGTGATGAGGGGTGGCATATTTTGATTTGAGTTACAGTTCAACAGAAGATGTTGGGAGATCTTTAAAATGTTTTCTGGGAAGGAACAGTGTAGCTGCATTTATCACTAATTTAGGTGAGGGGTAATTTGTTTCTCCTGGTGAATACACTCAGTGTCTTGGGAGCAAATTTATGCTCAGGTTTTTCCTGTTGAGATCCACCTGAAGAGAAAAACACCCTCTAATTATAGCAGTATCCTCCTGGCAGGTGCAGGTTTGATCGTGTTTCACTGGGGTCCCTGTATTCCCTTAATGCATTTAATTTGTATGTCGTCATAGTGTTTACTTAATGACAGTGTTGGAATCCTATTGCCACATCTTCTTTGTAGCTTATACTCCATGATTGCTGGAGCGTTTGACTTCGTTAATACTGTATTTTTCTTTTCAATACAAAAGGTGTTCTTAAAGCGTACACGTATTGTTATAACCAGAGCTATAAGAACGTTTCTTGTCCTCTTGGCTTATTTTTTTAATGTCCCTGTGTGCTAAAGGGATTTTAGGCTCCCTGCCAGAACTACTCCCCATCTGAAATGACTACTACAACGTACCACTGAGGGGTAATAGGGTTCTCTACAGAGTCTGGTAGATCGCAAAGTCCTTAGTACTTTTTTTTTGGTGTTTCTTTTCCATTTTTGTATTATTTTTGTTGTTATTTTATTTACTTTTCTGCAGCTGACTTTATTTTAGCAAAGGATCTCTGTGTCTGCAAGGAAGAGGCTAAGTTCAGAGTTTTAAAAGGAGTTGGAGATGCAGCAACCTGGCAGAGAGGAGATTTTTGAGTGCAGTGGGCTTGAGAGTGGTATTAAGGGTCAGGAAAGGCAGAGAAATAAGCTGGTTTGGTACCTCAGGTGTGGCAGAGGGGATAACAGCAGCATGACTCAGGGTGTGTGTTTGATGCTCACCTGCTCATCTTAAAGATTCATTCTCTTACATTTTTAGGATCTGCAGCTAGAATATGGTCATGGTCCTCAGTGCGGCTACTTTTTGGGTGCAAATAAGTGAGTAAGCAACAGCATTTTCTGTCTTTAATTAATTCAAGACTATCTTAATAAAAAAAATCACAAATGTGTGTTTAACACATTAGCTGGAACATAGTAAAATAAGTCAAACTTGTTTCTATCAATTAAAATTCCAAAATCACTATTTATTTCTACAATAGTAGTAACTCTAATGATATAGAATTGCAGCATTTTTCACTATTGGAGGCTGTGTTGTCTCTATGGTGGTTAAGATTCCTTTTAAGAGCTGTTATCTTGGTCTGCTTGTTTACAAAATGTTCTGCGTGGTAAGTCCCACAGACCACAATTTTGCCCCACCTGGGAACTCCCAGTGCTCTTCTTTGACATTGCTTTATGCCCTTCTTCATCTTGTAGGGCACTGGGAACATGCAGTTATAAATGCTTTAAAAAATAAAACCTGTCTTAGCAAGTCCTTCCACTTTACATTTGTACATTTAATAATCGTGATACATTAATCATATGAAATAATTTTCAGTGTAATTTTTCCTTTCCACCCAATTTCTTAATTGCATTTATGCATGTCAGAATCAGGATGCCTAGCTGTGATTTTCAAATTAAATCATGTTAAAAATGCAGAAAATCTAAGCATAGAACATGATATTTTTGCACAGTCTTTAATTGAGGAAAATATAAATACTGGTATCTTCCAAAATCCTGTTGTTTCTTATTCCTGTGTTCTGCCTGTGATTCTTCCCTGTCTGTCCTTTCAAAGACACAGAAATGAAGTTCAGAATGTTACAAAATTGAACTGGGGAAGAATGAGTTTATTCCAACAGTAGTTTAATCCTTGGGAGTCTGATTAAAATTTTTTTTTTTTTTTAAGATTACAATTTTCTTGGAGAGTGTGGATTTGTTTTCGATTGGATCAAGCTAAGTTTTACAATGCAAGGAGAGTGGTTTACAGTACAAGGAAAAAAGACCACTGCACTTAAAAGCAATACATTAATAGACACGTCTGAAAGCGTGTTGTATAAAAATAAATGAAACAAAAATTGCAGCTGTGTTCATTTGTACGTGGGTGCTTGATGTATGTTCTGAAAGCCACTGAAATAACATGCTTTAGATTATTTATTGAGAGAATCATAAGACCTTTTGTTCTGGCTTCTGATAATTGCGTTTGTGTACCACAATTAAACTCTGTTCTTGTTCTTATTTAATGCTGAAGGAGTCTCTTAAAATCAGTTGAAGAAGAACTGCATCAGCGGTAATTCTATTCTTTTTTTTGTTGTTGTTTTCCTCTCTTGTGTGTTTCAAAAGTAATTTGTGCATTGATTTTTTTCTTTGTCTGTCACAACTAGTTCTTGTTTGTCCCTGTACTTGCTGAGAGGTTATGAGAGAGGCTTAGTTGTCTGGATTGCAGTATTGCTCTAAAGAATAATAATAGCTTAAAAAAAAAGACAATAAAATTCTGTACAAGAGGTAGTAGCCTTTTCACAGCAGTCAAGGTAATTTTAATACAACTCACGCAACCGTAATATTTATTCATTTTCTTAGGGGACATGTGGCACATTTAGAAGATGATGATGATGCAGATGATGATTCTAAACAGTAAGTCCGTTTTAAAAATAAATAGAATTAGATCCTCGAATAGGTGAGCATTTGAAAAAAAAAAAATAAGTTGAATCGTGTTCTGTAATAACTCAGGATTCCTTATTCTGTGACATTTTTAAAGATAAGCTTTTAATGTTGTTCCTAGATTACATCACCAGAAGTTTTCTTTTTCTGTTGATAAACTTACTATAAATTGTGGAAGGGGCTAGTCTTGTTTGATACAGGTTTCCTTTTACCTTATATTATTGAACAAAATCTTGGCATCATTATGTTCAACCAGTAATTCAACCTGAGTCCTGGTGTCTTTTTTAGAACCAATAACTGTGTAAGGCTCATAAAAAGTACGTAAAATGTTTCCATAAGTCTTCTCTAGTTTGTGTTTGTTCTGTCTGTGTTCTCAGCTAGGAGGATGCTTTTATGGGTGCTTGATTTTTTGGAATAGAGCTGACTCCCTCACCACAGAGAGAGCGAGGTTATGGGACTGCAAAGGCATGTGTTAAATTAATTAAGCTCATATTAAATTCCAGTGGTATAACTATTCTTGGGCTCTACTTGATTTATAGATGAGAGCTGAAACAATTTAAAAAGCACAACCAGTGTGTGTAGATTTACATTCCTAAATGAATCTGATCTAAAGACCAAAAAGAAAGGTGGCATTGAGATGGAATTTTTGTTTGCTTTCTGTTAATGGATAATTTTGAAAGCTGTTGCTTCATACCAGAAACCTTTAAAACGTGTTATCTATTGCTGGCATCTCTCTCTTACAGAGAACCAAATTACACTGTCTTTTTTTTGCCTTGAGTTATTTCACTGCTGTTCTTTTATAACAAAAGCAGTGTTTTTTATCACATACTGAGCATGTGGGACAGCCCCCTTCAAAATGGGTAAAGGTACTGATAGTGTCTGATGTCTGGTGATGAGTACATTAAATTTGCATGGTTTAATAATCAGTTTTTCAAAACACAAGTATATTTGCTGTTTGACACAAGTAATATTTATACCAAAAAAAAAAAATCAGTTGGTTTTTAGTAGACTTTATTCCCATACTGGTTCCTGAAGAAATTCTTCATATTTCATCATTAAGCAGTTGTTTAAAGGCCTGGTTGATTACATAATTCATCAGTAATAGGAATCTCTTGTGTCTTGTCTTTGAGAGGAAGAAGTTGGTGATGCTACTCATGATTTGCTCTGCAGCATTTGGGTGAAGCTGAGAACCTGCTTTGCTCATAGCTGGATAGACCTTGCCCATGGCAACTCAGGCTTCCTCCAGTGCAGGCTGTAACAGTCCCCTGTAGCTCCATCCTGCCAGCGTCACTCTGATGGCTTCCAGTGAAGGTGCTCTGGATAGCCTTGCTGCTGTGAGCCAGCTCAGCTTGGTTACTCCATCCATACTAATACCTGGCTGGTTTTTTTTGTGCACAGCTTTGTGTCTGTTTGGTTTTGGTTAGCATTACTTTTTTCCCCCTGACTTCTTGCTTGGTTTGCAGTCAGTATCATCAACCTCAGTAATGTTCCAGGGCTTGAACCTTTTTGATCCCTGCTGTCTTGAAGTGCTAGCACTGTCCAGTGCTTCAAAACTCTTGTTTATTACATGAGTTCCATCAGAACTTTCAAACAGCATTGACTTTAGGTGCTTATGTCTCTGTCATCTTTCTGTGGATTTTTTTTTTTTTTACATTAAACAAGGAAGAACCTGATAGCTTCTGGAGAGGTTCCAATTCATCTGACCCTAAGGGTAGTCACCAGTAGTCTTCCAAAAAAGTCCTGGTGTTTTTTGTTTCTTCACATATTTCTTCCCAGCTGCTCCTGCACTGCGGAGAGGGCCTGACCATGGGTAAGCACAGGAGTAAAAGCTTGAACGCATGAGCCTTGGAGCAGACAGATTCTGCATCTGTGCCCTTAGCTTGGTATCTGCTTGAGCCCAAAGCCCTGCTGGAATTGTTGGTTCATCAGCTTGATCACAGGTATCTTCCTCTGGAACCCACTGAAGATTCAAGGCTTTTTTTTTGATCTGTGTTCTGTGAGATGGAGTTGTGCTTGGAAGAGCACATGTGACATCAGTCACTTCTTCATTCAGATCCAGAGCAAAAACGATGAAACCGCTGTACACCTCCAGTCCAAACAGATCCCACTGAATGAAACTGGGTGATTTGCAGCAGCAGTGAATCCACATGCTTCACAGAACAATATAAAGTTATCTCTCTTCGTTTAATAATTTTGTTTCTTTTGGTATTTCTTTTTCTCTCATGCACAGCAAGGCTGCTGATGCTTGAATTTCCTGGTTATGGAAACTGGGAAAGCAGAAATTATTGGGACGCTGCCCTGCATGATCAGCAGTGACAAACTGCACCTAAACCCTATTGTTGAAACAAGGACACGTGGTCCTTTGTGCAAACATCTGTCACATTTACGCCAAATTGTTGGCTTTTCTGTTTACTTGGCTGCCCAGTAACATTGTAATGGCTGTCTGAAATGCAGAGGAAGAATATGAAAGAAAATATAAATGGAGCTTGGACACACATCACTAAGGACTTAAACTCGGTCTCATAGTGGAGATAATTTCTACCACCACAGCTGCTGAAGTCAGAAGTCCCCTTCAAGCTTCTCTGAAATATAAGCAACAGATAAGATGCCAGGACAGAAACTCCTGAAAAGAATGAAGCAAAGCAGACAAGTTGTTGACCTGTAAACATACAAACAGATATCTTACTACTTGGGTATTTTTCAAAAACTTTGAAACATTATTTAAAAATAAGGAAAATACTGTGCAAGAGTGTCAAGTTTTCACAGCTGTATTCCTAATTTATTTAATGGAAATAATTTTCAGTTCCAAAAATATTAGGAAATAGGACAGTATAAGAGCTTTTAAAAACATACAAAGTTTTGGGACGTAATTGATTTTTTTGGTTTTTTGATGCAACATATTTTTTAAGCTACAGAACCGGCAGAGCAAGAATGCTCCTCATGCTTCAGCTTTCTTGATTTCTGCTGATATCTTGTACTCTTGGGCCAGCCCATTGAATTGTTCTTGTGTTAAAAAGTTGCCTTTCCCAAGACTTCTGTGAAAAAAGAAACTCATGGAAAAAACAAAAACAAAGAACCCAGCCACTGAGGTAGCTGTCCAATGCAGAGGAATTTTACTTTCAGACTGTTTAAGTCATCAGTATAAATTTTTCAAACGGTGATCTTCATCAGTTTTCTTGTAAGTCCCCTTTGCCATGCATACCTACAGGTGTCCCTTTAGAAAAGCTCACTGATACCCTAAATCTTTTTCCTCTCAACAGAGTAAATATCAGGCCTGCTGTGTATCTCCCTACTTCGTTTTGTACAGTATATGCATCTTCAGCAAATCAGTTCATGATACTCTTCTCTCTAGGGGGGATCTGTGACGCTTGTTTTCATATAGTATCTGTGGTGTAACAAAATGTTTGGAAGTATTTGTGATGCAGTTATTTGGATATAATGGTGCTGTTGACAAGTTAATGGGGCTTATTTGTATGGCATTTATAAAACCCTGTATCGTCTTGCAGACTGCAAGACAAGGTTCAAGGAGGGTAGCAATCTGTTCTGTTTCTTCTCTTTATAGTGCTACTATGAAACCTAAAGTGCCACCTCCTTTACCACCAAAGGTAAGTGAGGGGGATTTTATTGCCCAAAAGATAAGGACACTTTAAGTAAATAAATGCAGAATATGTAGATTACTTTATTGATAGCTCTTCACTTGTGAAAGTTTCAGGATCCAAATATTGCATATGGGGTTTTTTACTCATTGAGAAGTAGCATGGATGCTTTTGAATCTTTCTTCATTGTGTTTTTATTAGTAGTAATAATAAATGTCTCTTTCAGCCTAAATCCATCTTTATCCCCCAAGAAACTTATTCTTCTGAAAACGAAAACCAAGGGACAATCAAGAGATGCCCAACATCGGAGAGTCCGGCAAAATCTACATCTCACGTTCCACCCAGACCACCACCTCCTCGACTACCTCCCCAGAAATCTAATCCTTTAGGTAATAAGAGTGACCCTAAGAAGTATACAAGTATTTCTTACATAATCTAATGTGATTTTTTATTTCTGCCTTCTCACACTGTGCACACATTAGAACATACTGAGGTAATTTTTCTGTAGTGGGCAAGTGACAGAAAGTGCATGAAAGCCAAAATGCATGAAGAAAGCATGTTTTACCTCTCAAGAAGGTTAAATGTACCTTCTACCAAAGTCACTGACATGATTCCTGCTGATGCCTTTGGTGACACGATTGCTTTCCTAAGCAACAGGCTATAATGCAGAGTGTCAGGATTGTTAAATAAAGTGTATGTGTAGGGTTCAGGTTCAGTGTGTCAACTGTTGTCATTTGACATGTCAAGAACAGAATTCTGCCTTCAAAGTTTGCTTTTGTATGTAATGAACTGGGTTGGGTAGTATAGGAGGTAATTGTG